GGATGGTTCCAAACACGAGAATATTCTGTGAAAAATGCCTGTTCACCTTGACATTCCTGAAGGCCTGTTGACCCTCCCTGCACCTTACCCCCCCCCCTCCCTCCCAGTACCACACAATATCACTCTGACTCACCGCTTCAGGGTTTAAAGTCTATGTTTTGAGAATTTCTAAAGTGGATTTCACTCTGAAGATGGGTTAGTGTCCCCCGTCCTATTCTGTCTCCCACCTTTTATTTTTATAAAAAAAGAATTAATGAAAGAGGTTCTTGTTGGAAGGTTATAAAATCATTTGTCAGGGAAAGTATGTGAAACATTTCAAGTGGGCGCAAATCACGGCTCATTGTGGGAGGGGGCGTAGGGGACAACACTGAGCCCCGGAACGCAGGTCTGATAGGATTTAAGGCATTTCAGAGCTGGTCTCTCATGCATATTATTTACAGCAGACAAGCGTCCGTCCAGAGGGACTGTTTCTCTGAAGGCTTCTTGAGCGCATGTCTGATTGGAAGGCAAAGTTCTGCCCCTCCGTCTGGGGACCATTTCCTCGAGGGCACTTCTGCATCTCCACCTCCAGCACAAAGCTACTGTGGACGAAGCCCTGCTCCTTCTGGGTCTTAATTCCCAGGAGGTCAACGACGGGGGGCGGGAGGACGGACCCCCCACCCCTAGCACATACAACAAACACCCGCCCCCCCCCACTGAGCAGGCCACTTCTCGAGCCGCAAGACAAATGCTTATAAATCCCGAATAACAATGACAAGAACAGCAAACCAGGTGGCCATGTTTTACCAGAAGGGCAAAATGACTTTATATTATTGTAGTCATTCAGGGATGCATTTATCTGAGCGTTAAATCAGTACATAGGACTCTTCACATTGTAAGGCAGCCCTGAAGTGCCCCCCCCCTGATGATCCCATGACTAATTGCATAGATAAATACAAATTTCTCACACTGTATCGAAGGTTAATTCAATCTGTAATTACCCCCCTGGCCCTCATCCTAACCAGCCCAAGCAGCCGAGTGTGGGTGTCCCACAGGTAAAACCTTATCTGATAACAACAGCCAGCTGAATCCCTTCACAATACCCCCACTCGCCCTAAGGCCTGCTACCCCAGGGCTCTGGGCACCTGCGGACCAACCAGGTGCAGGGCAGATAGCAGGGTGGTCAGTTAACACTGCGTTTGCATCACTAAGGAGGGCTAATTAAGCACTAATTAATTCGTGGGCTCGCCGGTCCATAATTTGCGACACTACGTGGTGATATGTTTATGGGAGGCAGGTAAGTAGGGCCACACGCAGCCAATCGCACGTTAGAAATCCCGGTGATGAGTTTTCATGTACCCGTTCAGTCAGCGGGATGCAGTGATTAGGGCAAAAGGTCCAAGGTTTCCGTCCAGATCCCCCACAAGGTCCTAATTAGCCAGCAGATTACAACATTCTCTTTGTATATCTTCACGCCATGTGCTCTTTGCAAACT